AGGATGTTTAAAATCACTCACCTTATGCAAACTTAAAAGTAAAAAAGAATCCAACTTCAATTCCAATATAATGCAAGCAATCCACACGATATACTCTCAAAATATCCTTTACTCAAAATTCTCAAAAGAGGCAAGAAACCTATTCTTTTCACTCAACCCTCTTATTTATACCCTTTCCAATTATGGAAAGGCGACTGAAGAGTTTCCTTATTTAATATATATATATATATATATATATATTCCCATGTATGCATACTATATATTATGCATACACCCACCCACATATAATACCCATGCATACATACTCATGTATGACTCATAATCATGCATATACTTCAAATTATACATACACTTCCATGCATGAAAATACACATACTCACATATTAATCTCATGTAAGCATGTATCCATATGATTAACTATAACAGTTAATCATGTACCCACATAATCACATATCAAATAACCACATAATAATCTGTAGGCTATATTTTCTTCCCCAACTCGAGGGTGTTCTTCTGTTTGATCTACGTAAACAATCTATTTTAGCTCTCGATGAAGGAAAACACTTTTTACGTCCATTTAAAATACCTCCCATCCTCTTCGTACAGCCACCGCTAACAGTATTCGAATTATATCCCATCTAGAATCTGGAGAAAATACTTTTACATATTCAATTCTATACCTTTGGGAGTATCCTTTCACCAAAAATCTAGCTTTATATTTATCCACCTCTCCTTTTTCGTTCATCTTTGTCCAATAGACCCATTTTACTCCAACTTTTGTTTTCCCGGGTTGCAGATCTACTAACTCCCATGTTTTATTTATCTCAATGGCTTCTAGTTCCACGTCCATGGCCTTCCTCCATTTATCTTCTTTGGCAGCCTTCTTGTAACTTGTTGGATCATCTTGATACATAACATTGCTAAGCTCTTCCTCTTCTTCGGATAATCCCTCACCACTAACATAATCTTTTAGATGTATGGGAGGCACTCTCCCTCTATTTGCTCGTTTAGGTAGAACTCGTTCTATAGGTTTGCTGGGAGATCTGTCTTTATTTGTACCTCAGTTAACTCATATTGGGAGCTTGAGTCATACTTCTCTTCTGATTCTTCTTCAAAAACTTCATCACCGTCCCAAATTAAAGTGTCACTGGCTCAATCTTCAAGCCTCCTTCCCAGTCCTAACCTTGATTTTCTTCAAAAATCATATCCCTGTTAATGATGATTTTTTTGTTTCCGTATATAACAATATGTATACTTTTGATTCTTCACTTATTTCCAAGAAACACATTTGAGACTTTTGTTATTCAGCTTCACACTTTCTTTGTTTGGAATATGAGCATGGGTCGTGCATCCAAAGACTAGGAATTGTAAGTGATTGATATTTGGTTTGGAACCTGTCCAAGCTTCTTATGGTGTCTTCTCCTTAACTGCGATGGTAGGACTTCTATTTAGTATGTGCACACTCTACCTGGCTGAAGTACCTAGAAGACTTTTCACATGTTTTTCTCGCTTAACAAACACCAAATCATGTTCATTAATGTTCGATTTTTGCACTCGTCTACGCCATTCTTCTGAGGGGTAATGGTTTTTGTGAGTTGTCTCTTAATACCATGCGTTGCACATTACTTGTTAAATTTATTTGATGTAAACTCGCCTTCTCTATTCCTCCTTAAACAACAGATGCTCATTCCAGTCTCTTTTTCATAAAGATTTTGAAGTTTTCAAAGAGATCAAAGGTTTATCTTTCTCTGCCAAGAAATAAACCTAAGCATTTCTACTAAAATCATCAATAAAGCTCAAGATGTACCTTTTGTTTGTTGTAGTTATTGAGGAAATTGGTCCACACAAATATGTGTCAACCAGTTGCAAGCGTTTTGTGGCTCTCAACTTGACTTGTTTTGGAATGACTTCGTTGGGTTGCTTCCTTTTTTGCATACCTCACATACGTTTCTCATGTTCTTTATGTGTGGCAGCCCTTCCACCATTTGACTGCCAGACAATAATTGCAGGTTTGTAACTTAGGTGGCCGTAACTTTGGTGTTACAAGGATGCTACACCATCTGTAGTAACCTGTAGGCATGAGGAAGAAACAACTTGGCTAACAAAATGAACATTTTGTTTGTCGGCATATTAGATGTAACATGATTTCGTACCTCTCATGAAATATCTTGCAACACCCATCTTGTATCAAAATCACCAATTTTCTCTCTTATAGTTGCTCCATATTTTATAAGTTTGTTGATAGTTTCGGAGCATAGTAGATATCACCGATTACGTGAACACTCCCGTCAATATTAAGCTTAGCATTTCCTTCCCTGCTAACTTGTATTCATGCATCATTCCCGAGTTTCATGGAGTAATCAAACTCCACGACAAATGTCGTGAACCATTTCATGTTCCCTGTCATATGGTTAGAGCATCCTGAGTCGAGAAACCATACATTATTTCCTTTAGTTCCTTTCTTTTTAAAATATGCCATCAAAAGAAGTTATTCAGGCTCCTGTAATTCTACATGGTTTGCATCTATCTCCCACGCTGGGCATTCGTACTAAAAAAGCCTTAATTTGTGACATTTGTAGCATTTTACCATGGATCTTCCATAGCTTCTTTCTCGTCCTCTTCCTCCTCTAAATGATCCCATGAAGTTTCCTCAACCTCTTCCTCTTGTTGTTTTTTCTTCTACTGAAGCTCAGAGAACCTGCCCTTCCTCAATGTTGCTCTTCATTCTTTGCTCATGGATGAGCAAACTGCTTTGTGGTTCATCCAATGTCATGGTATCCAGATTATTGGACTCTTCAATACTATATACTACATGATTGAAGTTCATCGATGTTAACCTCAATATCTTCTTAGTAATGGTGTTCTCTTGCACATTCTCTCAACAATTCTTCATTCTTTTAGCTAAGCTTCGAGCAAAATAACTATTTAACAATTCTCCTTCTCTCATACTTAATGTCTCAAAGTCTTTTCCTTAAAGCTTGCAGTTGTGCTCGTTTAACTCTGATCGATCCTGCATACTTTGTTTCATGTTGTCCCAAATTTGTTTGCATGTTTCTGTATTCAAGATGGTGTCGAGGATGTCTTGATGAATAGCTTGATATAGATAATTCTTCAACTTCAGATCTCATAGTATCTGGTCATTCCTTAGCCTCCGTTGTGCCTCTGATGATGTCGATCCTCATTCCGTGGAAATCTCGTGTTCAATAAGATTCAATACTCCTTTGATCTTACGAATGTTCCCGTCAATCTCGCCCAATAGTCATAATAACCATCAAACTTTGGTATAGAAGGTACTACAAACTCCTTTCCATTGTTACTCTCTACCATCTCTCTACCTTGTTTCTCCTTTTCTACTTCTTTTTTTCCTTTTCTACCTCTCTTTGTCTTTTCTTTTTGGACTCAATCAGGCCTGTGATGAGCATTGATACCACTTGCTAGAGCTAAACAACTTGGAACCAAAAAACACAATGGATCAAATTGTTTTTGATACTTCATTGAAGTAAGAGAGAATCTTCAAATAGGTTAGAAAACATAAAGCATAAACCACTACTAAAGAAACTCTAACATAAAGCTACATGAATTGAACTTGTCAATCCTTTAAAAATTGAAAGCACACACTCTGCTCCTATAATCCAGGAGCTTATTACTACCAAGTCAAACTAGTAACCAAGTCAATAAACCCAACAAACCCAAACTGACTTCGTCCTTGTGGTTTCCGTTATCCAACACACATCTCCCATACCCATTTCCTTTTTGATATAGTGCTTCTGCATCAAGACTGATTCCCGTCAAGGTGTATTTAGGTTTTAACTTTTTAGATTTAATTTAGAATTTGATTTTTTAAAGTTTGGTTTAGAATTTGATATAGGTTTTAATTTAGGGTTTACATTTATAGTTCTTGAGGATGATTCTTTGATTTTAGTTTTTATAGTTCTTGATGTTTATGAATGGGTATAATTTATGTTTTTGAATTAGGGTTTTGTTCATCGTGTTTTTGGTGGTTAAAGATCGAAGAAGATGGTGAATACAAAAAAGGAAAATATAATTGTTAATTAAAAATAATAAAAAGACTAAAATACCTTTTGAGTGTAACAGAATTAATAGATGGCCATTAACCTCCGGGACCAAATCCATAAAAAAAAATGCATATATGGAGGTTTGTTTTGTAATAAATGAAGATAAAGAACCAAATCTGTAATTTTTGACATACCTTAGAGACCAAATCCATAATTTACTCTTTTTTATATGACATCTTTTCTAATTTGTATTTTAGAAAGATACATTTATATGATATTTTTAAAACAAATATTACAATAACTTTATTAAAAAAAAATTATGACTTTTCTAAAAAATGATATTTTTTATATGATGCCTTTTCATATTCATATTTTTTAAAGTGTTCATATGACATTTTCATAAATGTCATATAAAAAAATTAATTGAAAGCTTTATTATAAAAATATCCTAAAAAATATCTAAAAACATTTTATAAAATCATTGTAACATTTTTACATAAGACATGCATTTTTTTGGTAATAATTAGATGAGCCAAACAACTGTACGTACTATTAATAAAATCATATCATATATATGTTTGATAAAACGACTTAAAATAGTTAATTGTTTGGTACTATATACATTTTAAACATTTGGTCCCTAATAAAAGAAATTGAAACACTCTAATGTGAGGCACTTTCACTTGAACCATCGTTAGTGTCATAAATCGAATTAAAAAAAATAAAAATATAAAAAATAAAATCATATGAAAAATGTTCAATTGTTTTATTATAAACAATAAGAAAGAAAAATAAGAAAGTAGGAAAGATACTTCTAGAGGCTCAACTTTTGAGATGGGTAAACTGGTTCTCTCAGTGGAAAAGGAGAGGGAGAGGGAGAGGAGGGGGATGATAACAAAAAAAAATTAATAAACCAAAGAAAGGAAGCAATATTTGTCTTTTGTATTAATTTAATATCTATAATATGGATGCCAATGTAGCTTATTGAACAAATGTGTGATACAAAAACAAATACGAATACATATTTCCAGTATCTCATGGGATAGACTCTTCAATATCGTATCAAAAGCAGAAAAAATAAATTTCCAATCATTCTAACACCGAAGATTACCGCCCGTGGTAACACCAAGTTGGTTACAGTAGTCAGTGAAGTACCGAACACGAGAAGTTACGGTGGCCGGATTGCCACCATCGCATTCGAGTGCTCCATTGATGGCTCGGATAGTGGCTCCAAAACCTTGGCCTAGCACTGGTTGAACATAGGTCGTCCAATACCATAGTGCAGTTCGAAAAGAGATGAGTGGATCAGTGGCCACGATTTCAGGATTGTTCAGTCCGTCGAATCCAATGCTCTGCCCAGCTGGACCGTAGTTGAAATTCCACGACAGTTGGATCGGACCTCGCCCATAGTAACCCTTGCTAGGGTTACATGGATATTGAGTATTATTTTCGTCACAATAATCTCCCGAAGGGCCATTTATTTCTTCGATGAAACAAAAATCTGTTTACAGATAAAAATAAGGAATTAAATACATAAACTAAGAACACTGAAGTTTAAGGGACGTATACACACACAAACCGGGTAAACGCTTATCACGTAAGATTCTTGGACATCAAAATAGCATTTTATGAACGTTTTGATGACCGAGAATGTTACCCGATAAGGTAAGTGATGATGGTGATCTTGCTGGTAAGAGCGTATGTGTAAGTGTTTAGTTAATTGATAAGATATAGTAAGTTTTAGTACACAACCCGTTAGTCAGGTTTCCATTTGTAACCTTTGATGATCAAATTAAAAAAAAGAACAAAGTTGAAGATTAATCTTACGTCCGGTTTCATGGGTAACATGGGCGAAGAATGCTGCGATCTCCCGCCTCGAATCTTCTTCGGAACCGACTCTACCGAATTGGGGATAGTTTCCCACGGCTTCAAGGAAGGCGGCACGTGTATAAAACCCTCTCCCTTCACAACCGGCATCAGATTGGTCCACGATTCCATTGAAGAACGCATCGGACACGACGCTAGCAACCGATACGTCATTCGTCGGAGGAGGTCCGAAACACGGCCCTTCCCGGCACCCGGTGCCACAAAATGCTGTGTCGTTGCCACAAAACCCGAACTGGCTGCAACACAAGTCTGGACTGCAGCCGCAGTTTTGGGCGGCAACGTGGAGGATTCCGGTGAAAAGTATGCCGGCAACGATGAGGGTTGAGAAAGTTTTCATGGTGGTTTGTATGATTCAATCAGTGGGATTCTTGAGGTGTATTTATAGTATGTGTGAAAAAGGGTGGAGCCATGAGAAGGTGGGTATGGGATAAGAACCGGATTGTTTCCTTTGACTTGGTATCTAAATTGACTTTTTGACGATTCGCCTTGACTTTGAAAGGTCAAAAAGTTTGAAAAATGCTATTCAATTTGAGATGTTTTCGGTATGATTTTGTTTTGACTTGGTAAATATTAAATTAAAGACAGTGTAACGATTTTGGTTTTTGGAAGATGTTTCGAAGATTGAAGCATTATAATTGGCTAGAAATTTCTGATGTTATTAATAGCTAGTGTTATAAACTTAATTTATAATAATTTTTTATAAAAATACGTCGTATTAACTTTTTATAGAACATTATTTAAAAAAATGTCTTATAAAAAGACGAGTTTATAAGACAATTTCTTAAAGATGTTTTATAAAATAGTTAATATAATGCTTTGTATTAAAATGGTCCTAAAAAGCGTCTTATAAATTTATTACAATGTCTTTAGATCGAACATTTTATTTTTTGGTAAATAAATTAGGTTTTATAGAATAGTCTATTAAATTATTTAGAAAATGATGACGTCCGATAAAACTCAATTTTATTATAGTGAAAGATTGTTTCTTTATTTTTTCTACTAAAAAAATTTCAAATAAGAAAACTTAATCTAAACATTGGATATATGATGATTCATGCAATTCAATAATTTATAATTATTACTAAAATTAAGCAAAAAAAGCGAACACTAATTAATGATTTGGCTAATAAGTTGTTAAGTTTATTCATTACAGAGTTGAGCAAATTGAACACTTTGTCTAGCTAGTTATAGTATAACAAAATATAGATCTGATGGCCGTGAATATTACCTACCCTTTGATGTGAGCGTGTTCATCGATCACGGGATATGTACTAACACGAATATGATGTTTTATTTACAAAGTCCAAGGATATATTGTGTAAATGAGCTAAAGTTTTTAAATTTTTTGAGGCAAGGGTGGATTTTTGTTAAAAACATGGTATAAATGTACATATCATACAAACATGTTTATTGGTATAAAGAAACATATTTATAAAAATAATATTAATAAAAAGCAAACCCAGATGATCGTTGATATATTTGGAATGGCTGGTTTAATGATATTACATTTTATGTTATCAAGTTGGTTTTTATGATATTTGGTTGATGTTTGAAAGTTATTCCATGATTATTATTTCAATTTTAGAGACATAAATGATGTTTACAAGTTGATTTACGATTATTTTTGCAATTTTAGATATGTTGACTTTCAAGGAAGAATGTTTATTCGTAACTCTATTATTTTGGTATTTAAGACGAAGAAGGAATTCTTCAACAAGAATCGAGAGGGTACGAGATAACACTTCAGCTATGAGTGGACATGCATACACACAAAAGTTGCTACATCGATCTAGTTTGCAATGTCAAGAGTTGATGCGTATGCCTCGTGAAGCATATGTGTTACTATGCAATCACTTTAAACAAAGGGATTGGGTAAAAGATGGTAGATTTGTAAGTGTCAAGGAGAAAGTAGATATGTTTTTGACAATGGTCGGACATAACGAATGTTATAGAGTGATCAAACCAAGATTTCAACATTCCATCGACACTGTCCATAGTTGTTTTCATGAAGTTCTATGAGGAATGATGAAGTTTGTGAGAAAAATTGTATGTCCAACAACGTCTAAAACAAACACATAGATTATGTCAAACCAACAAAGTCGTTTGAAAGAAATATTTCCGGTAAGCTTTGTTTTTATAGTTTTTAAATAGTTAAGTACAAATTTTGAACATTTTTTCATCAATGAAGGGTGGAATTGGTGCACTAGACGGGACACTCATACATGTAGTAGTGTTTGCTAGTCATCAAACTACATATAGAGGAAGAGGAGGTGGTCAATGCTACCCAAATGTTCTAGGCATTTGGGATTTCAATATGATACTTACATTTGTTTGGGCCATATGGGAAGGCATCGCACATGATTCTAGAGTACTAACTGAAGTTGCATTTAACCCAAGTTCAGGTTTTCCTTTCCCACCTGAAGGTATATGTTGGTCCCAGCCGGGTCTACAAGAGTTTAGAGGATCAATTTGTAGAAAAAGGGGATGAATACTGTGACACCCCATAACTCACATTGCATATAACATATAATTCATTCAGAGAAATACATGTTTAATCCCACAAAGGTCCAAGTACAAGAAACTATATTACAAAATACACCACCCAAAAATTCCAAAATACATGCTCTTGTACTACATAACATTTAATCTTCAAAACACATCCACAGATTGTTCTTCACATAACTATGCTTTTGAGTGTGTGTATAGAGTCGGGCCCTGAGGAGAAGGGGCCCTTATTTCTTCATCACCCCTCTGTTGGGAGAGAGGTGATGGATGATGGGGTTCCTCGGATACATCATCTCTAGAGACCCGAAGATTGGCCACTGGATGGCTGGCTTGGGTTGACATCGGACTGGGCAGTCCTTCTTCAATATCCCTTTGGCCTTGGACGCTAGGGATTGTAGATGTGGTGGCCCGGGGATTTGGTTGGGGAGATGGAACAGTGGTGTTCATAGGGTCAGGGGAGGTAGGAGGACTGTCTTCATCATCTGATGATGTCCTCTCACCTTGAGATCCCTCGCTTATTTCCGGGGTAGGCTCAATATGCTTTAGGGTAGCTGGTCGCGGTTGTGGACCAGCGTTGTAAAACCCATTTTTTTAAAGTACAAATAATATTATATGAGCCTTTAAATATATTCTTTTAAATTTATTTGAAGTGTTAAAAATATTTACGTAATTAATTAAAGATTATAAAGTAGAAATCTTAAATAAATAAATAATAAAAAAATAAAAATAAAAGTGTTTTCTTTTAATTATTGGACCAAAAAATGTAAGATATTATGTCAGGAGGGGTCTGATGGTAAATGTCAGAAACTTGAGGGGGCCGAATGTCATCTTTTTCAAAGATGAGGGACCTGTTTTGTCAAAAGTACATAACTGTTTGAGAAAATGACCCATCAGCCTAAAACTCGCGATTTGTCTGATTTCTTCAACTAATAAGGCAAAACTCTTGGCATATAAATTATAGAGCTCTGGCTTAGGAACGTTTTGGTTCAAATAGCTCGAAAAATCGTTGAGTTTTGAGAGAGAAATCTGAGTTTGAAGTTCGGAATCAAAAATCTCAGTTTTTCACCGATTTTAGGTGAGATTCTTAACCAAATCTCTTGATTTTTATATCTATGACTTCGTTTTTAAGTACTCTATCAAACCCCAGTAGCCTCATGTCTTATATTTGTGTTTTAGTTGTTCGATTTTTATGTTTTTGAGTAGTTAAGTTTTAGTTTTAAAAACAAACTTTAAATGAGTAAATGAAACTTATTTCTTGATGAAAATTCGTGTTCTTTATGTCAAAGTGTTGGTAAAAATATTACCAAGAGTTTGGCGCAAAAAAGAATGAAGAAAAACGGTCAAGAAAAGAACCATTTTCAAGCTCAAAGAGCTTGAAAACGCGCAGCAATGGCTGCAGTTTTTTGTCCTAGTCACCTGCTGTTTATATTAAAAATAATTTGGAAGGAGAGCGTTGAGGCCGGGTTTCGAACCCGCAACCTCCCAGAAATGCCCAACACCTTAACCAGCAGGCTATGTATGAGGTTTATTACTTTATATGCGTTCATATTTTTAATATGTTGTATACATCTGAGTTTCAGAAATTAGCTTTTAACACCCACAGTTTTAGAAATTTAATTTCTCTATATAAATTTTATGAAACTTTCTTCAAGTTTTATTTGTATTTTGTAAAATGCAAACTTTGACCCAATTTCGATTATTTATCCCGTTTAGTTACCAAAATGACATTCTAAATGGGAAATCGGTATTTTAGCAATACTTTGCGTATTTGCTTTCAAAATTACCGAAATAACCATATATCTTGGGGATTTGTCTATGAGCTTCATTTTTATATTATTATTTTTATAAAATTACCAAAACGACCTTATATTTGGAAATCGGTATTTTAGCAATAYTTTACGTATTTGCTTTATAAAATTACCGAAATGACCCAAGGTCTTGGGAATATGTATATAAGTGTTATTTTAAATCTAATCCCTATGAAATTACTAAAATGACCCTACAATGTGGAAATCGGTATTTTAGCGCTACTTTACGTATTTGCTTTATAAAAATTACCGAAATGATCCTATGTCTTGGGAATTGGTATCTAAGCTTTATTTTGATTGTTATCCTTATGAAATATACCAAAAATGTTCTAAATTAGGGAATTGGTTAAGGCTATATCATTGGTATTCGGCTTCTTAAGATTACCAAAATGCCCCTAGACTTGGAAAATTGGTATTCTAAATATTAGAGTATTAATTACGTTGAACTTTAAAGTTATGGAACGAGCGTTATTTATATGTGTGTGACATGTTGTCACCTTTATTTACTTGCCAATCTTAAACGAGGCGTTTTCGTCACATGACATTATTTACCTTGCAAACTATTATTTTAATTATTTTGGTAAAATATTTATTATTCAAGAAAATATGAAGTTTTATAAAATGTACGAGCAACAATTAATATTTTAACGACGTCACATTATTAATAACATTTCAAGAAAATATTTGAGTGAAACATGAGATATGATGTTATCGGGGGTTGATCAATAAAAGGAAACGTCGTGTTAAGAATGTTAAGGAATAGTAATCAATTTAATTACGATTATTTAAGATGCTTAGGAATGGTATAAATTATCATGTAGGTTGCCGTTTTTTAGAGAACGACCTATCGAACGTTAACGATTCAAGGTGAATACATTATGCGATTTTTATGGGATATATACATGATTATTACAAAAGTATTTTATCCATGATATTTGCATGATGTGTTTATATGCATATGATGATGACTTGATTGTATTGATGTACATGATGTTTAAGTATATGCATGATATGAAAGATGATGTGGATGAGA